CCTTGATTTTAAGATTAAATATGTGGAAAACAGGTATAGGATGTGGTTATATTGATGACACAAGATAAGTTTGGAGAGTTACATGGGAATGAAATCATGAAGGCACCTATATAATCAAAGTATTAGTTTTCTGTTGCTACTATAACTAATTGCTGTAAACTTCGTGGCTTAAAACAATGTCTGCTTATTATGTTACAGTTTTTATGGGTCAGAAGTGTGAGCACAGGATGGCTTAACTGAGTTCTCTGCTTATGGTCTCACAAGACCAAAATCAAGGAGTCAGTGGGTCTGTATTCCTTATTGGAGGTTCTGGAGAGGCGTCACCTTTCAGGCTTGTTCAATATGGCAGCTTAATTCTGTTTCTTCTCATGCTTTCCATGTGCCTCCCTTCATCTTCAAGCCAGCAGTGTCATGTCAGGCCCTTCTCACGCTTGGAATCTCCCTGATTTCCTCTTCTGTTGTTAGCTGGAGAAGTTTCTCTGCTTTTAGGGGCTCATATGATTAGATTAGGCCCCACCCAGTTAATGGGCTTCCCAGGTGGCACTAGTAGTAAAGAATCCGCCTGCCAATGCATGAGACATAGAGACGTAGGTTCAGTCCCTGGGTTGGGAAGATTCCCCTGGAGGAAGGCATGGCAACCCACTCCAGTATTCTTGCCTGGGGAATCCCTTGGACAGAGGAGCCTGGTGGGCTATGGTCCATAAGTTTGCAAAGAGTCAGACACAACTGAAGCAACTGAGCAGGCATCCAGTTAATCTCCCTATTTTAGGATCAACTGTGCCACATAACATGATATAATCTTGAGAATAACACCAGGGAATGGAGATGACTGGGGAGGGACTAAATTCTGCCCATCTTAATCATATTAAAGACCTAAGACTTTATTTTCTGTGTCTTGTGTGATTTTAAGAGAAGAGTATTGTGGTCAAATTTGTGTTTTATAACAACGACTTTGGCTGTAATATAGACAAGGGTCATTGGGGAGTCACTCTGAGGTCGTGGGAAACCATTAAAAGGAATATCATTTGAGATTCAGGTAAGAGGAGCCACATGAGCTATTTTAAGAAGAAAGGGATTTAATGCAAAGAATAAGATGTTATAGAATCTGAGGAAGGCTGCCTCCCTAGCATTATCTCTAGAGTGGTGTTGCAGAACTAGACCACCAAGGGCACTGCTTCCTCCACTAGCACCAGATAAGGGGAGACTCAGGAAGCTGCTGTCCCTGGGTGTGGATCACACCACCTTAGCTGTGACCTGGAGACCAGCGAGCTGCTGCCAGGGGAGCTGACTGCAGGAACACAGTATGTGAACCACCATCTGATCATTGCTGCTGCTGAGTCACTTCAGTCGTGTCCAACTCTGTGCGACCCCATAGACGGCAGCCCACCAGGCTTCCCCATCCCTGGGATTTTTCCAAGCAAGAGTACTGGAGTGGGGTGCCATTGCCTTCTCCATCTGATCATTAGGAAGCCTCTAACCAAGCTGTTCCCACCCACGTCTGCTAGAGCCACTCTCTCTCTCCCCAGGGCTGTTGAATGAGATTGATGAAAGTTAAATCTCACCTGAAAAGAAGGGTGGTAAATGTAGTTTCCCTCTTTGCAGTATAGAAAGGCATTCTAGGATGAGGTTGGAACAAATACTGAGGAGACTCATCCAGCTTATGCATCCAAAGAAAGCTGTGGCAATCCGTGTTATTAATGATAGTGGCTTGAATTTACAAGACAAGTGGGCAAAAAGATGCAGATAGACTCATGAAATATTTAGGAATACAATTAGTATGACACAGCAATTGATTGAGTGGGAGAAGTGGAGAAAAGAGATAGGAAGGAATCTGGATGACTATTCAGTTTCTGGCTGGTATGATTAGATAGTTTCTGGTGCCATTTACTAAGATAAGAAAGACTAGAAGAGAAGGTTGGGAAGCAACAATGAATTATCTCTGGACATGTTGAGTTTGAGAAAACTATAAGACCTTAGAGTGTCCTAATTTATAGGTCATTTAATTTGTAGATAAACTTGACCGGTTATAACAAATAGGCTAATTCCTGCACATGGGCCATACTTTTGTGTACAAATATGTTTATGCTTGAGATAAATTCAGTTGACTATAATGTCAAGTATAAATAAGCATAGGATTATACAGCCATAATATTAAGTTTTAGTTTTATATTTAAATAGATTCTGGGCTTTCCACTAGTTCTTTAATCTCATTGTTGACTAGTGTTTTTCTTTTTCAAAAAGACTCGAGGGTGCCTTATTCCCTAAGTTTCCTTGTTAAGTTTATTTCTGGGAAAAAAACAAAACAAAACTTGGTGAGGTATAATATTCTTGGGTCATGCTTTTTCTAATTTATTTATTTGGTAGGAAATGTGTTATTTTGCTTAGTCTCTTTCACTGGTGCTGAAATCTCACTTTTCATCTCATTCTGCTGCTTATCCTTTATCTTTGAGCTCCCGTTTTATTATATTAATGCACTCATTAATTTCTGCAGCTTGGAGTATCTGTGGGGCATTTTCATTTAATTGAGACGTTTTCTTTGAGATCGAGTTCCCCTCTGCCTTTTACTTATGTGTTTCTCTCTTTTATTCCTTTTGCTGTGTGGTATGTGCTTAGTTGCCTCTTTGTCTTATCTTCTTGCTTATGCTTAAAAGTGAGTCTCTCTCTCTCTAGACCATGTCTTTGCTGAAACATGGTATAAGTAAACTCCTTGACCCCCTCACCACTGTTTCTTTTGTCCCTCCTGGACAGAGTCTGAGAGTCTGGGGTGTTACAATTCTATCTACTTTCCTGTAATCTGAAAGGAAAACATCTGTAGAACTGGGTTCAGCTTTTATTTAACCCCTGGGTTCAGCTATCTTTCCCAAGATTCTGTTAAATTATCATAACCTATTTTCACTTACTTGAAGTCATATACTAGGAGACTGGGTAACAGAAAGATACCCTTGGACTTTTGAGTCATTTTGCTTTTTCACTTTGGAGCCTTGGAAAATTTCAAGTCCTGGTGCTTTTGTTTTTTGTTTGTGTGGACTATTTTGTTTTGTTTTGTTTCCCCTTGCTACGATCCTGACATCCTGGCAGTGGGGTGTAGAACCTTCTGATCCCTGAGGGATGGCCTTAGTCTTCCTCCCAGCGGACTCCATTCTCCTTCAGCCCCATTTGCTCTAAATTAAAAAGTGTTGATCAGTACACTCAAGGTACTAACCTTGGTAAGGATTCTGTTTCCTTACCTTCTTTCTCCATTATGTCTTCCAGGGGTGGAATTAGGATCCTTGCTTATTAACAAAACCACATAGCACAAAGCTTTTGGTTCCTTTTAAAAGGCTATTTGAATAAGACTGTTCCCTCTTTTTCTGTATTAGTTGCTGCTGGCAATATTTTACCCTTAAAAAATATTTTTTGGGGTCCAAGACCTGGGAGAAATTTCTGCAATGTGTTTCATCATACCACCACCTTTTCCAAGAAGTCCTTACTAAGTAGATTTCAGTCATACATTTTTTAAAGGGTGTGTGTGTTTTAATAATATAAGTCCCAGACAGCAGGAATGGAGTCTTAATACTTATTTGTATATGGACTTAGAATTTACAAGTTCTTACTCATTTGTTATTTTGTATGATCCTCGCAACTGTCTTATAAGGTAGGAAGACCAGACTTATTATCCCAGTTTTACTAGTGAGGAATCGGAGAGATGAAGGGTTTGAGTGAGTTGCTAAGTCACACAACTAATTATAAGTCCAGACTCTGACACCAGATCTTCTGACTCCAAGGCCAGTGCTATATTTTACCTGGTCCCCCACTTCATGGCAATGATCGCCTCCATCCCTGACCACAGAGGTCTCACTGCAGCTTCAGTGTTCTACCAACCTAGTTATGACACTTATTTAAACTGAGTTAAAACTCCAGGAGTTTGTGATGGACAGGGAGGCCTGGCGTGCTGCAGTTCATGGGGTCGCAAAGAGTCGGACACGACTGAGTGGCTGAACTGAACGGAACTGAAAGCCAAAGTCGGGTGGAGAACATGGGGGAGTAGCAAGTTTATGACCAACTGTATTCTGATCCAGAATTAACCTCAGTACATCTTGGTTATAGTAAAGCTAATACCAGATCTTTTTTAGCACTTTTCCCCTCTCTGGTTTGTAGAAAACTGCTCAGCTTCCTCAGGGAGATCAAACCTACATCCTCCAAGCTGGCAGATGAGACAAGATTTTCCACATGGGAAACTTGTCCTTTTAGCCCTGGTCCCACCTGCATAATTCACTTTTCTCCTAGTATCTTTGGCTCTTTAATTCCTGCCTTGATCAGGGAACTTGTATCCCTCATTTACCACTTTTTTACAGGAACACATTCTTGATTCTTCCACGAACTCCTTGTATTACAGTCAACTAGGCTAGGCAGAACCATTCAAACACAACATCACTGAAAAATCAGAGTTAATAGATAATATACAACTATTTTTTACAACAGTGTTTTTGTTTGTAAGTTATGGCTTCTCTGGGGTCAGAAACTGCTGGTCTATGTCCATCTTTCCAGCTATTACCAAAAAACATGGACTTAGATATCTATACCCCTTGATGATGACGCCCAAGCAAGTAGGTTCTATAGAGTGACTGGACTTCTGTCTGTAACCTCTGTAGTGTCTACCTTTTTAGGTTCTTCTCTCCCCTCTGAGCCTATTCTTTTATTAATTGTTAGGTTCTCCTCTCCTCTCCTCTCTAAGCCTATTCTTCCATAATTATTAGCAGCAGGCACGATAGCCATCTTTAGAAGAAACCCCCTGTCTGCAAGGATGGGGTTTTACTGAGATTTCAGGGAGACAACCATATCAGATCACAGATTCCACATCGTCACAGTAGATAGGTAGGTAGGTAAGCAGATATAATATTAGAGTAGGATATTAGAAAGATGTTGAGAATACCAGTAGTTTACCTGTAGTTCTGAAGAAGTTAGTAGTTCACATGCTAGTAGTTTAGGCTGTCACTGTTTTGCTTTTTTTTCCCTTCTAGGTATCATGAACTAATCACAAAATATGGGAAGTTGGAGCCTTTGGCAGAAGTGGACCTGAGACCCCAGAGCAGTGCGAAAGTAGAAGTCCACTTTAAGGACCAGGTGGAAGAGATGAGCATTCGTCTGGACCAAACAGTAGCAGAACTAAAGAAACAACTCAAAACTCTAGTTCAGTTACCCACGAGCAACATGCTTCTCTACTATTTTGACCATGAAGCGCCCTTTGGCCCAGAGGAAATGAAGTACAGCTCTCGAGCCTTGCATTCTTTTGGCATTAGGGATGGAGACAAAATTTTTGTGGAATCCAAGACAAAATAACCTCCGCCAGCCTTGTGAGAACATACACATTAGGACTTGCAGGGCATTTGTTCCATGAGGTTTTCTTCAGGAGGGAGAAGGTTGTTTTGTTTAGTTTTGTTTTGTTTAGGCTTTGGGGGGTTTTGTATATTTCCCTCTAAAATGGGTTAGGGGGCTGTTTTTGGTATTTTCTACCGCCGATTCCTTCGGCTCTGCCACCTGAATTGGCCACATGCCCAGCCCCTGTGTCCACCCTCATGAGAGATGACCGGACAGCACCAACTTCCAACTGTGCTCACAGGCATCTGTCCACCACTTGGTCGTCAGGACCACCCAGGTGCACTTGTGGCGCTGGTATGAGCAGTGCGTCCCCCAGAAGGGCCTCTTGCGCTTAAATCAGGAGACGAGGAATCTTTCCAGGAAGGCCCGGCATGTCTCTCTCTCAGCTCCTCCATTTCCCCTCCCTCTCTCCTTTCCTTCTTGAGTTCCATTTTTCCTTATGACTCATGTCTGCAGGTTTCCCCAATAGTTTTATTCTGTCCATAACTAACTTCTCATTGCTCAGCTTGGGTAAGGTTTTTCTTCATTTCTCCCTTTTGAAATAATTTCACGTGTTTCAAGCATTTCTCAACCTGATTCTGATCTCAGGTACTCAGTTGGAACCTTTAGTTCTGTTAGGGTCTGGAAGAAGAGTCCATGAAGGAACGCCGGCTGCTGGAAGCGCAGGCACAAGCAGTCTGAGCTCTGTGTGCGTGACTGTCCCGGTCTTAATGTTCCTCCCCCAGTAGATCACCCATCACTGACACGAAATAGGTCAAATCCCAGAGTCCTTTGCTTTTTGCTTTTTGAATGTATTTTTTTCATGTCTGTCTTTTTCATTACTTTATTGGGAATGGAGGTCTGACTTTATGAAGAATCCAATAGTGCAATGGATATACATGCTAGGAGAGCTAAGAGTTACCTAATAAACTCTTGGTACTATGTGTGAGGGAGTCACATAGAGGGGATATGGGAGAAAGTGTTTCGTGACTTTCCTGCCTGGCATCATTTGAAGTCTTTGCTCTCGCACTTTGCGTTAGAAGTGGGAAATTTTCATCAAAGGGATCTTTGATTCCCAGTTCTTCCCTGAGATTTTGTGATGTCATAATTAAACAATTCTTTTTGTTTTGTGTTTCAACTTAGTTGCCCCTACAGGAGAACAGCTCTGACTAATCTCTGAGTAAAGTATAAGTGTCAAAACTTCAGATTTGCCTCCAAGTTATGTTTTATGCACAATCATATTTAAAGCACTTTCCTTTAAAAGGTAGTCCTTACCTGCTCTGACATCTTTTGGTTTGTTCTTCTGTTCCTTTGTTAATCAATGTAGTCTCTTTCTTTGATATGTTTTTCTGGATCCACCGTGTTTACCGAAGGGAGACTTGAGAAGGACTTAGTGCTACTGGGGCAGAAAATGTGTACATGAAGTATTTTTCAAAGAATGTAGTTGTTATCTGATTGCATTTGACCTTTTGACCTTTGTTACATGATTCCATCGCTTCTACAAACTTAATTTCTTAGGAAATTTTTAGGTGACTCTTGTAAACCCTTCTCTGATACAAAGTTGTGTTTATTATTGCTACTTTTTCAGTCATCCTAGGCCACAATAGCAGATATTTATTCTCTTAATGCACTTCAGGTTCAGTATCTGTAAAGCCTTTGACCCAGGCTTGCTGAGTCAAATCTATATTCACTGTAACGTTGAAGGTGGAAACCAAAGGGTTTAGGAAGATGAATGAGGCCAGCTCTCCTTCTGCTGCAGACTTTATCTTTCAAAATCATAAAAATGAACAATGGAGATCCAGGTGGGGTATAGACAAGAATAATTATTTTGCAATCACATTTTCCTGACAGATTTTTGGAGGTGGGAAAAAGTGTGGCAACAGTGTCATGACAATTAAAACTGTGGGTGCTTTGTGTACGTACGTGTGAGTGCAAACGAGTATGAGAGAGAAACAGTGTAATTGAGCCCGTCGCTTTTGTCAACCTGGGAAACAGATGAGCTCTTATTTTTTAAGGCTGTATGACCCATGACTGTCTCACAGCAAAAAGCAGAGCGAACACCTGTGTTACGCTTTAATCATCAGTGAAATAGTAACAATTAATAAGATATTTTATATATGACAAAGTTTTATGAAAATGCTTTTTTACTATTAGAGACTTGTTCCTTCTGCTACTTCAGAACACAGTGCCCATCAGCTGCAGGCATAATTCTCCGATTACACAGTTGCATGTCAAGGGAACTTCTCATTTAATTCAATGGCCATGGGTATTTGGGGGACATTGTAATTGATGGTTCTAATAATTGCTAAATGATTTTTGATTGAGACAAGATCTAATGCAATTATCAGTCTTTTAGAGTTACAGATCAGAAGTAAATAAGAAAAGCTGTTTGAGCATGTATACATGTAGACTTATTTGGGTGGCCGAGTAAAGATGCTGCTCTTGAAATAAAATTGGTGCTGTGTAGACACTTGTAACCAAAATTATTTTTATAATAGGTCAAAAAGAAGGAGAAGAGAGACTGGATTTTTGAGTCAACAAGTTATGCATAATTGATTGTAGCTTATCTGTGTTTTAATGTTAACTTCATCCAGATTCAGCGAGAGCATATCATTGACATTTATGAAGCAAAATTCTGTCATAGCCAGTATTACAGATAATGTTGCTACAGGCACAGTGTATAGAACTTATCTTTTCTAAAATAGAAATTCTTTTCAGTTACAAAAAAGGAAAGGAGTAATAAAAGAAAACCAAGTCAAAACTGAGGCATCCTTTTCATGTGGGCATGGAGCTGCTGAAACCACAGTGGAAATAAATTTTTGAATTTAAATTGTTGAAATATCCCACATTGCTTTTTAAAAAAAAAAGTTCAGAGTCATGTATCTTTTTTTCTTATTGAAAGTTTCTATTGTTTCTGTAACCTATTGCCACATGACTGTAAATACCTAAGAAAGCAGATATTATGTAACCCTTGTTCCTTTAAGACCTTTTGGTGACAATAAGCCCAAAACATGAGCTGTATGTAACAGAGCCAAATGTTATGATGCTATGTTTTAAAAGTTTGTTTCCTTAAAAAGAAAAGAAAGTCAGTTCTAACCAAATGTTTCAGCTATGTTGCTAAATCAGCAGTGTTATGAACAGGGAAGACATGTTACACCAGTAACTTGTCACTGTTTGAGGCACGCAGGTGACAGCTTTTAGGAGCCCCTGTGTTGAGGGTGGCTTGCTCCATGGGAGGTGCTAGATTCCAGGGCAAATAAAACAGAATGCAGAATAATAGATTGTTCTAAGCAATGTCCTTTCCATTGAAGAATTTGACTTTTCCCCTCATTTCATGTTGGATTGCAAATGCAAACCAACTGCTTCCAAGAACACCCAGAAGCTCTCTGTGTTACCAGGTGTGTTGTGAACACTATTTTTCATAGGTGCTTCCTTCGAATATGTGTCCATTGTAGTGATGGAGAGGGACTGGACTCTCTCAGGCTCTTTACTTGCCAGTTGTCTCCTGCAGTTAATGGAAATATATATATTTTATTTTAGAATATAATTTAAACATGAAGGTCTATTCTTTGCACTTTTTATTAATATATATAGAGAGAGATAATCTTTAAAAAAATTAAAAATCCAAGTCCACTTTCTCTTTGTGTTCTGATTTTTTTTTCTGGAGTTGTGTCGTCAAAGTACATGTTTATTTTTATATAGCAAAAAGTCGACAATAGTGCTCTGGTTGAGTCCTCTGGGGAACTGGGCCTAAGTTGGTAAGAATCTGATGAGCTTAAGAAATTTAGTTGGCATGTTGTCAAAGTTAGAGATTAAAGCTGCAAAACAAAAGTATGATAGGAAATACTACTTTTTTGTTAGCAAAGTTTTATACTTCTAACATGCTCTTTTAAAAATAAAAACCCCACTTTTGAGATATTTGGCATCCCCCTTTTTGAGTAAGAATCTTATTTAGATGAATTAAGATTTTGTGACAGTGTTCCAAGTGACACTTATTCCCTTTGAAAATAATTTTGTATAAGAATTAGCGTTTGGGGCACTGAACCATATCTGCTTATCAATAATTTCTCAGTGATCTATTATAAATGAACCTTGTACCAAGAATTGAAGTCCAAGAACTATGTATACTTTGTTACTGTATTTAGAAGACAGTATCTATTAAATTTTTTATCATTTTTTTCTCAGTTCTTCAGAAATGCAGAAGTATCATGATCTGTTTAAATTTAAGATTATTTCTACCTCATATTCAAACTTCAGAAAATTGTAGTTTTAACCTCTGTGCTAAGTTCTATTTAACTAGTATTTATTATGAGATTCTCCAAGTTTTTGCATGGTATTCATATATCAAGACACCCATTACCCCACTGGACTGAACAGCACTATACCTTCTAACAGTTGTTAGAATACATGTAAAACAGGAAGGATAACCTTTGAAGTCATACTTGTCTTTCCAACTCTTCTCTGGAAAAGAAGTTATCTGTGTTCTCCAACTTAGAATTTCAGGATTCAAATTTAGCCAGATAACCTTTAAAAACATATAGGTCATGATAAATATTAACATAAGTCATTTCATCTAATGTTTTTAGTGTAACTTGAGATTTAGGAATTGAGTTAATACATGAAGGGGATAACACATTATATCTCCTTAAAATATAATGAATTTCTATATCCCTCAAAATTTGAGAATAACCCTAAAAATGTTTAAGTTAAGTGTTCAAATACATGTATTTGCCTAGACCTATGAGTATAATATACGTGAACATCTTATGCTTTTCTTCAATGTAGTTTAGGCCCCTGAGCAGTTTGCATTCTATTTTAAGGCACACATATCAAGAGAGGAGTAACGAACTCATAATCCAAGAGGAAGATGAGACAAAAGTAGAGAGAATTCCTGGTTGTGTTCATCAGTGCCACGGATCCAGGCTTATAATTTTCATCTTCATGTTTCTTCTAAACACTGAGCATTTATTTATCAACCAGGG